CAAGTCATTTCAGACTCATAGCAACCCCCTTTGGGTTTCCAGGGCTGTAAATCTTTATGGAAGTAGATTGCCTCATCATGTTCCCGTGGAGCACTGGTTGGTTTAAGCCACTGGCCTTGTGATTAGCACTAAAATACCTTACCCCCTATACCACCAGAGCTCCTTTTAAACACTAGAGTGAAAAATGAGTTACTTGATTAATGCTATTTCTTGTACTTTTTTAGAACCTGCACTTGTTGCCAAGTCTTCCATCTTACTAGATGTGAAACCTTGGGATGATGAGACAGACATGGCAAAATTGGAAGAGTGTGTTAGAAGCATTCAAGCAGACGGCTTGGTCTGGGGCTCTTGTGAGTTTCCTCTTTTCTTAGCATCTAGAATTTCTATGGCGTTCCAACCTTTGTCCGTGTTTGACTTACTAATTTTTTACTAATATCGTGAAATACATGTAGCAAAAATTTGCCATTTAAACAATTTGTACATGTACAATTTAGAACATTACTGTGTTATGTTAAAGATGTTTTAGTGTATCTAGAAGTGTTTCTTTAATTTTTTTAGGCATAGAGAGGTACACTGTATACTAAGACATTTGACTGACACGATACAAACTGTACCTAACTGTTTGAACTTAATATACAAATTTCATTTAAAGACAGATTTAGGAGTGGAACTCATGTAAGTGGGATCATACAGTATTTGTCTTTTTGTATCTGACTTTTTGTTTTCCACTGATCTAACTAGCTTTTTAAAAAATTCTCTCTTTAGCTAAGCTAGTTCCAGTGGGATACGGAATTAAAAAACTTCAGATACAGTGTGTAGTTGAAGATGATAAAGTTGGCACAGACATGCTGGAGGAACAGATTACTGCTTTTGAAGACTATGTGCAGTCCATGGATGTGGCTGCTTTCAACAAGATCTGAAGTCTGTCCTGGATCCTTGCACTTAAATAAAAGCTTGAAAGACAACCATTGGCTCTTGAGTCTGTTACATAGGAGGGTGGACTATTTTCCTTTAATTTTGAGGGAAGGAATTCGTTGTGCAATTCAGAAATTTAAATTTGGCTAGGTATATGTTTTTGTGTGGAGGTATTTTACCCGTTAGTGATGCCCTCAGAAATACATACCAGATTTAACCACTGAAGGACACCTGATCCACAGGAAATCAGTCAGGGAAGGCTTCTCAGAATTGTCGTGAATTACAATCATTTATCTGCAGTGCAGGTGTTGCAAATTAAAAATGCTTCTTCACTGTTGAGGGCAAACATATTTTAATGCCTAGTTTGGGAATGTGATAGATACAGGGAATGTGGCATGTGTTGGAAAGAAGTTACACAATTGATTGGTTTCCAGGCTGTGACTCATGAGGGTGTGGAAATGGGGACAAGATGGTGAGACATTTTAATTGGATTTAAACATCTAATTGAACCTAGTTTTGAGGGTGCAAAAACGGCAAGGAGGCCACATGTT